ATATATATATATATATATTTTTTTTTTTTTTTTTTTTACATTTACAAAGTATTATAAATAGCCAAGAGTTCTCTTATAAAAAAAAGTTTAGCAACATTGTCAGGTTGCTCTGTGGTGCCACAGGTTTGCCAATATTCATTGGCTATATTTTCCAAAACTATTCTACACCAACTCTACACTTTTTTAGCATTTGAAACAAGTTGGATTGTTTTACTATATTTGTATGTTACATTTATTTTTAATCTTTTAGACGTTGAATATATTCCATTTTTCGTTCCGAGTTTGTGGCTGTAGATGACCACTTGCACGTAATAGCCAGCAGAGGGCGGTAAAACACCACGCTTTACAAATCACTTTATAGTTGAGCAACCGTAGAAGTGATGTCATTGCTGTAGATGTGGAAAGGAGCCAGGAATACTTCCTGTGTAAATTATCTTGAGCATTGAGTCTATATTACCGAAGGCTTTCTCAGATGACCCCGACTCAACGTACACATCACCTCACCCTCTCCAGTCAAAGAGGCCCTGGCACAGGTCACTACTAACCATCTGTCCACAAAGAGCTGTGGCGGAACTCCACAGGTTCACCCTGCTGAGGCTTCGACAGCATCATAATGTAAGGAGTCTGTTAAATCACTTTATAATGGACACCCCTCCATTTACTCCCCACCCAGGCCTTTAAAACAGGTCAATTCCTGAGAGTCAGCACTTTGGGAGGAGGGAGTTGGTTGCTGTGAGCATAAAGGCATTTTTATGGTCCCACAGGATCCCGCATTTATCTGCTTGAGGACATAAGTGCTTCTTTGCTGTGGCAGGCATAATCGACTGCAAGCAACTACCAGGACTCAGTGTTTATTTGTCGATCAAGTTGTGTAGAACGGTGGTAGGACCTCTGAAAGCAACACATTACTCCAGAGAAGAGTGCTGCTTAGGGATTTGGAAAATGCCTCTTCTAAAAAAAAAAAAAACCTTAGGGCAATAATAAATTAAGCAAAGCACACCTTTTGTGTTAATGCTAAAACAGAATGTTTATTACTTTTTGTTTGCTATTTACATATTTATCAAATACAAAGTATAATACAGAGTTTGGGATGCAACAGCACACCTACATCATCTAACAAACCCTTGTTTCTTCTGAAATTGTTCTTTCCCTCTGACACAACATTCAACCATCGAAGCATGATTCTGAGGAGTTTCTGAGCGGCGTTTGGAGTCACTGCTGAATAAATCTAACCGATAAAATAAATTGCAACCACCCCGTACAACGTCATATGCCTCTCTTTTGAACGCTTCATGCGATTCCTCAAATAATCGGGATGCAGTTTCATAAAATTAAAAATACAAAAGTAGCTGGTTATCTTTTGAACCCCAAAAAGACGAAATATGCATACCCAGCCTGACAAAAAGGGAAAAGTGTGTGTCTATTTGTGCATCTTTATGTCCTTTTATTTTCACAAATGGCCAGATTGGGGGCATTTTAGGTCGTGCAGCTCACATTATAAATAAGTAAGTCATCGTTACTTCCCTCTTCTGCATTAATCCTGTATTCTACAGCTCTGAGTGGTGGAGAAATTACACAGTGGGGCAGAAGGACAAATGAAAGGATGGAGGAGAAGATCAGAGGATCTGTAAAAGGGTCAGCTGAGATGGCCTGTTCCATTCTATAAGTCATTTTGTCAATGAAACTGACCCTGATGGGGATAAAAGTCTCTGTACGCACAGACACACCACAGAAAACAGACTTCATTTATTCTGCAGAGGCTCGTACGACGCAGAACCAATTTATTTGTATGGGTTTGCTCACTGTTGGATGGCCAATATTAGTTCCTCGCTTTTTTGTGGAATGGAATAGTCTTTTAGGATGGAGATAAGGTCAGCCAACATCCCAGTCCATTGAAAAAGAAGAAGAATGCCATTTGCTTCTTGAGTTCTGGTACTCATACGAGCGCAGTCACTCCCCCAAGCTTGCCGCTCTCCTCGCTCGCCCAAGGCTGTATGTTCTGCAGGGCGAAGAGTGATGAGTTGTGGATGCAGAGCGGGTCTGTTGAAATTGAATCAGTCAAAGACTTCTGAAAGGCATCGTGCTGGAGTTGAATCATCAGCCGGTTTGCCTGCTGGCGCTCTGCCTCCCTCTCTTCCGCCGTCTGCCGTCTGACATGAGATGATATAGAGAAAATTAGAGGAGTAGAAGTTTTACATTTGCCACAAATTTGCTCGTGTGCACATTTACTGAAGATTTTCAGTTTCCAGTGCAAACAATGAATTACAGGGTGAAATGAACTACAGCAAAGCTACAAGAAGATATGGTCGTCTTTGAGGAAAAAATCACTAATTGTGTGAATATTTTGCCAACATATAGATTTAGATATAATTCATTTAAGTGAAATTTTGTTAATTGTTGTGGAGATGTAATTGATTCATGGAGGTAAATATCCAGTTTATTTAGACATTACATTTGTGTAATGTTCAAGCAGCCCCTCCTCTTCTCCAAAGTGTGGCATGTCCTTAGTGTGTTTGCCTTAATTAATAATTCATATTTCTTCTTGACAACACCATTATTTCCCCATTAATTCTTACAGGTATTATGGCCGTTAGTAGGTCAAATCTGAAAAGGGATTTCAGGTCATTACAGACACTAGTGTGGTTAGTCTATATATATATATATATATATATTTTTTTTTTCTTTTAAATAGGGCAGTTAAAATATGCATTTCTTTCTGTTTAATGATTTTATGTCCAGCCATGAAATTTTATCAAGTAAATCTTTCTATCATTCCAATAATTTCTGGTCCTGTTTACAACCCTGGGTAAAACCATGTTACAGTTTTAAAACAATCAGGGCACCTATTTCACAGTGTGCTATTGGACATTATCAATGTCCAGACAAACGTTTAGAAAAAAAGATGTGCAATGGGAAATATAGTCTAGTGAAATTGCGGTGTTCTTGTGCCTTTGTTGATGTGAGATCACACTTGAATTTTTCACCATTTTTCTCAACATTTCTACATTTTCCATTAGAATATATCAACCTTTCTTTCTGTGTCTCACCTCCACTTGGTCCTGCGGTTTTGAAACCAGGTTTTGACCTGGGCGTCTGTCATTTTCAGAGTTTTAGCCAAAGCTGCTCGTTCAGCGCTGGCCAAGTATTTTTGTCTGTGGAAGCGCTTCTCCAGCTCACAGATCTGCACTCGGGAGAAAGACGTACGGGGCTTCTTTCTCTTAGGTGGTGTGCGGTTCTGGTACGGGTGACCAATACGGCGAGCCACAGTGAAAGGCGTCAGGGCTGCTGTAGTATGAATAAAGAAGGAAAAGCCAGTGAGAGATGAAGTAAGCCATGAAGAGTCTGACACACAGTTTATTGACCTCCTTCTGTCACACTAAATAATTTTTCAGGCAAAATTGGCATCTGCCTATTCAAGATTTAAAATCTTTTTTGTTAATATTGTGATTTTTTGAATATAAAATACCTAGTATTTCGTATACCTACACTGTAAAATATTTCTGTTGCTTTTGCAGTATTAGAGTATATTTTTAAATGCATTTAAACTGGATTTAAACTGTACAAAAAAACTGGATGCACTGCACAATTTTAGAATCAAGCTTTTTTTTCCATATAATAATTGACAAAGAAAATGAAGGACTGTTAGGAAGTAAAATGCTTTTTGCACATTAAACTAGCTTTCACTTAAAGGTTTGTGTAATTGTGTGCTGCATTAATCAGCCCAAGTTTCTGACTCTTGCTGAGTCAAAGGAAAACTCTGTTCCTCATCATTATAAATTACTCCATGCCTTCATGCACTATGCCTTCTAGATGTCAAGTTAGACTTTATATTATTGATTGATAAATACTAAAAACCCTCATAAATAGATGGATTGGTGATGCTCTTAGGATTTGTTGAGAGGCCTGTTACTCAGGTTACATATAAGCTGTAAAATAAAATCACACAAAACATATCCTATTAATGTTGCATCAACTACAAACAGCAGCTGTTCTCCTAATGACAGTAATGACCTATATTGTTCGTTTATTTATTACCCAAAACACACAGAGCAGCAGAGAGCGCCTGTTACCGCAGCTATAGGTGGCAATAATTAAAGCTGGTGAAATATTGATATGTCTTTCTAATGGCACAGCGTTCGCATTTACCCCAGAATAAAGAAAGCTGGTGATCTATGTGACAGCTCTGAATTGTAAGAGTTTACATTCGTATGCAAAAGAGCGGTTAAACTAAATAAAACAATACTCATTTATTTCTGTATTTATGTAGCCCGCTTGGTATGTTCAATACATATTTGAAAAACAAAAAATAATTATAAAAATAAGTCTGCATATCCAATTAAATCTGGTTAATCTAAAAAAAACGCGATGATTTCATTTATTACACAATTATTCAGATATGTGTTAAAAATTGCATATGTCCAATAGGCTTAAATATAAAGCAAAATCATGCAAACAAAAAATAAAATTTTTTTTGCACGTATTGTTAACAGACACGTTGACCTAAGCTGAGCATTTTGAGGTGTTGACTTTCTATCGGCCTTTTCATTTAATTTCGCCCATAACCGGCACAGGTGTTTCAACGCTCTTCAAGGTCAAATAAAACTAAAACGAGCTCCTCAGCAGCATCCATTCATCTGCCGGCTCTTTATGGAAACAGCAGGATCAAGTTTCCCAGACATACTCTAATATTTATTGTTGAAACCTCCACCAATTCATCCTTGTGATTCTTTCACGAGCACACATGCAACAGCATCGCAATTTGCACAACTAAAATGGCAAATGATTAAAAGTGCATTATGCTATTTTGGGGAATACATTTTAATTGCGATAACTCGCAAAGACATTTTTAAATATAGGCTAGGCTACTCTATTTAAGTAATCCGTGGTGCTTTCATATGAATAGGCTATAATAAAACATATAGTCTAATTATTTAAATGTAGGCTACTTTAATGACAGGTTAATTAAAGCATCACATAATATAAGGCCTAAATATAAGGCCTTTATTTATATATAATATAAAATAAGGCCTAAAGTTATTGCTAAAGTACTGTTATTATAGCGTGCCACCAACAATAGCTCAAATGTTTTGTTGTTGTTGTTTTAGTTCTTCTCTCATAATTATGCCGTCCTATAAAAAAATAAATGAATAAAACAGAATTCAAAATAAATATATTTAAAACAAGAAAAAAAACACCATAGTATTAGAAATGAGTATGTTTTACATTTCATACGTTGTAAGTCTGCTTGACTTTTACTGTCAAAAATCCACAGACCACCGACATTTAAACTACAACTATTTTAAAACATAATTCACATAGAGTTTGGACTTTTTGCAATTATGTTTGTGTTTTTGTTATATAAGACGCAAATGTGAACTTGAGTGATTTTTGTTTTCTCAGACAATTCACCATTTCCTGATTCTGATAACTTCAACCACGAGGATTTTGTTAGAAAAGTGAACAGATCGAAAGAATAAGACTATTTGTTTACCTGCAAACCTGTCTTTTGCGAAGCGCTGGCTGCTCTCCATCCAGGGAAAACTGAGGCTCCCAAGACCGGGCACCGCGCTGGCCATGGGTGGAGGCACGGCCGCGGCCAGGGGCCTGTGAGCCGGGACCCTAATCACTCCTCCGTGTGCAAGGGTCAAGTTCACTCCGTATGGACTGGATTCCTCATATGGAGCCGCGATGCCGTGAAAAGTGCCGGTTAGTGTGTACGGCGTTGCGCTCGCTCCTGTTGGGCTGCCGAGATGGTAACTGCCTCCGCTCGCGCTGCCGCTGCTGCTGCTCTCGGAGTTATTCCTGGTCGAGTTCTGCTGTGGCTCTTGATCGGTGCCGCTGAGAATCTGGTCAATGCCGAAGCTGATGGGTTCATGTTGGGTAGGTTGTGATGTTTGACTGGTGCCACTTGGGCTAGAGCTTGGGGCTCGGTCCATCCTCACCACCTGAAGCTTTCCAGTGAGTTTATTCCACAGACAATTTCGGACTGCCCTGGAATTGTACTATGGAAAACTCAAGATCTATGAGTGAGGGAATCCCTAGTAATAGCTACTTTGTGATGTATTACTCCTCGAGATTCAATTCTTGATTTAGGATGGTTTGGACGCATTCGTCTGTGGGTGAAAAGTTTTTGGCACGAGGACTTGGCAGATTTCTGGCACTCTCTCTCTCCACTGGATCCCTGCGCGGAACTCGTTGAGCTCTTCTCTTCTCTGATTGGACAGTGCTCACTCTCCCTCTCCTTATTGGCTTTCATTTTGTTACAAGTCACAAAACAGAACGTGTTGTGTGACATCATTCTTTAAAATGCAGATCGTTTAGTCCCCAATTTCTGAATTGGTCAAGTATCTCTTTATTATGGACATGCTGACATTAGCACGTCATCACTGGCTTTTTAAAAACTTGAGTATTTAATAGAGATTCTACCGTGGCCTCATGTGGAAAATAAATTGCTCATCAATTGTATTATTTACCATATGGACCTTGTGTGTAGAAAAAAGTAGTTTGTAGTTAGTAGTTTCATCAGATGAGATGAGGAATGTATAATTAGATGACTTTAACATTTTAATAATCTTTCTGGATTAGAAACTCTAATCGGCGTATATTAAAATCAGAAACACTTATGATCAATTCACGCTTTAAGAAAAAAAATCGAATTTATATATAGCCTCCAGCAACTGGAGGAGTGCTTTTAACCTCAAAGCTGCCCTCAACCTTTTTTTCTAATATGTCAATCAACTTTAGAGTCGTTCTCGTCTTTATTAGAAAAAACGAATTAAATATCCTTTTTATTTATTTTTTTCCATGGGGCAGTTGGAAAGTATTGTTCATTAGGCTACATCGCATCAAGACAAAATACAACATAAAGGTTAATAAAAAAATAAATAATAATAAAAATAATATTATAATAATAATAGCCTAATACACTCTTCAAAATAAAGGTACTTCACGATGCCATAGAAGAACCTTTTTGTCTAAATGGTTCCATAGAGAACCTTTAACATCTGAAGAACCGTTCTGTTTCACAAAAGGTTCTTTGTGGCGAAAGAAGGTTCTTCAGATTACAAAAAGGTAAGAAAGAGATGGTTCTTTAAAGAACCTTTGACTGAATGGTTCTTTGTGGACCCAAAAATGGTTCTTCTATGGCATCGCTTGAAGAACCTTTTGAAGCACCTTTATTTTTAAGAGTGTAGTAATAAGTTTAGGATTCCTATTTTTTATAGAATCATTACAATTCTGATTTATTTTCACAAACCATGTTAATTGAAGCGCTTTTTAACTTCTCAATGTTACGAACATTAAGCATAGTCTGAAGGGTATTCACACTAAAAGGTATAAAAATAAACGGAAAATAGACTGAAAAGTATTCACTGAAGTCTCTCTAAATCGATGTAGGGACGGTGTATTTATGTCCGATATAGAGTAGGCTATCATTCGACAATAATGGTAACATTAAACATTGGACATGCAAGACTACCTAAAACTCACACGTTTGTGTTTCACAAGTTTCATTTTGTTAGAATGCAGACATCAGCTTACTTTTTAAAGTGTTCTTAACCCAACGTAAATAATTTAGTTTCTGTTAAATATTTTCTAAAACGTTACTGGATTGAGTCCTTTATAGGCCCAGCATCATTTCAATGACTTTTAGATGCTCTTTAGTGGTTGCATCCGGAAACCGTCAGTTTCACAGCTGTGCGCGCCTAAAGGAGCCTGCACTGTTGGCGCTTGGAGAGCTGCACTCCCTCGCGTTTATTTAATCGAGAGTGTTGGGACACCCGATCTTCTGACAGCGGATCTAAGTGGTTCCTTGTAATCTGCCACGTAAAAATGATTATGCTCTTTTGGCCTGGCCGCCGCGTTTGATTAGCTTCAGGGGTGGGAGCTGGTGTGGAGCAAATCCGTTTACTTTGAAGTAGTTGATATTTTAATAGACCATTAGTGAGTGCTGACGCTAAAAAGCCTCGTTCCCCCGGGAGCTCGGCCCTCGTCCAGTGGCTGAAGACGCTCACGTTATTCTCGTCGTTGACCCATGGTCACTGTTTCGCTCTGAGCCTGTTTGCTTTTATCAAGATAGATAGATAGATAGATAGATAGATAGATAGATAGATAGATAGATAGATAGATAGATAGATAGATGGGATGCATCCAGTGTTCATGTTATCTTACTTCAGTAATAAAATAAATCGCTGTTCATGCATGTAAAAAAATAAAGCCTAAAAATATAGCCTGTCGTAAGAAGTATAGGCTTCTTATATAGCCTATTATTTTTATGTGCAATAAAAATATTAGGCTTATGTTTTGTTTCAAAAGTTGTTCCAAAAGCGCTTTAAATGTGAATTTTTACAATTTTGTAGGCCTACATCAATTAAAAGTTCTGGTCTGAATGAAAGCATAATTTAATCTTTTCATTTTTGGGGGGTGGGTATTAAATGCACTCATAAATATCCAGATTTTGTGAGGGACACAAACGGTTTCACCTGGCAGAGTGCTGGAGGAGAACTCGGACCCTCTTCTTATCTTTGACCCGTGCAAACAATTTAGCAGCCGGGAATCAATAGATTGATGAAAACTGAATTAAAAGCGTGAAATCCCTCGCTCAAAGAGCGAATAAAGGAATGGTTGGCGAATTGTTGGAGTAATTACCGGGATCTGCATATGAGCGGGCGCGCGTGCCACCCTGCTCCCGGCGCTGTTTTTATTGCGCGTGTCTGCCGTTATCAATTCTGCCGAACATTTTAAATGGGAGTCTGGCAGCCCGCAGTATAAAAGCGCTCAGATAATATGCAAAAAGACGACGCTGCTTTTGAATAATAAATGACGCCCTTTTATAGCGGCTTTAAAACACCTGTGATGCTACGATATGAAAAGACCATGATAAGTAATAGTGCATTTAAAAAGGATCTAGTATGTTTTTATTACTATATTTTAAAAAGCATAGAGTGAGAGAGACGGGCTGAAGGAAGGAAATGGGCTGAATGAGGAGGGGCTGGGAGCCAGAGAGATAGGCCCTATCTGTATTATTGCAATAAACGCCAAGAAAAAGTGAAAGGCGCCGAAATTCCCTCCCAGCGAAATACCTTGCTTAATGAAAGTTTAGAGTCTCTCTCTATCTCTCTGCCCATTAAATATTCACTCAAATGTTATATAAAGCTCAGCGCCTAATGTCCTTTATGGCTTTTCTTTGTTTTTCTGCTTGTTGTTCTTGCTTATTATTCTTGGGCTGTAATAGAACTCCTTTTAATTTAGTTTACATGGTGCGTCATCTGCGCCTTTTGCTTTCTTTCTTTCTTTCTTTCTTTCTTTCTTTCTTTCTTTCTTGTTGGGCAGTGAATTCACTATACATGTGCATAACCGTCTTGAACTGACAGTAGAACGTATACATTTCTAAGTAAAAATCTAAACATTTTTTGTGGTAAAAGTAAAAAGTATTTTAGTCATAACGGATTTTTGCACTGACCTATTCTGTGCAGTTAATGTGTCCGGGAAAAAAAACACATTATAATGTTTTTTTTTTTTAACCCTGCTCACTATATTTCTATGATATTTAAACACGTAAACTTGTGTGGAGGATATATATATATATCAAATTAAAACAAGAAAACCTACTGATCAAGACTTTTAAGACAGGCTATTTGTTTGCCAAAATTGTGAGCGTGACCAGCAAACACATTATTTGTTTATGCATTTGAATTGTTTCCAATTTCATGTGTTGTTCAGAATAAAAACTTGTTTCTTTTTGTTTACCATTTGAATTAAACCTCTAGAAATGAAAGTGATGGGTTGTGATGGCATATGTGATTATTATTTTATGAACAAGTAAATTTGAAAACCACAACAAATTATAGAATAATTCACAAAATTGTAAATTTCTACATTTTCTATAGTATTGCAATCCACCAGTGTTAGTTTGTAACAACAGCACTGTTTATAGCTGACGTTAATTTATATAGTTTAGGCATACATTGCAGCTTTCTAAACCACTTTCATTTGCCGAAGATAAATATGGAATATTATAAAACATTTGAGACATATAGCACACACACACAAATAGTAACTTTCGTACAAACACTTCCCTTTCCTGTCTCCCCTAATTGATTCATATCAGAGTTTTCAGTATTATCAGATTACAGGTATTTCTCCTGAATGCAGATACACACATATTTACAGTATTTGTCGCCACAAATATCCAACTGATAGATTTACAGTTTCACAACATGATTAAATAAGCCTTCAAAACGAGCAGTCTGCCACACTGAGATCAATTTACAAAAGACCACTGTACTGTAATACACATACATTTTTCTGAATAATTTTAGCAGTCTGTATGTTGAAATATACAAGACAGATCAATGCAGTCAGACATTTGTTTTTAGATGCCAGTGAACAGAACATCTTTTTCATATTATTCTAATTCAGCATACAATCAGCTATAATTATTATTCTTCATCTTTCTAGGCTTCTTATTGTTGTCGTTTTTCTTGTTGTTTTTATTAGTAATCTGCAATGTATGGTAATATGAGTCTATTTATCTGCATACTCTATATGGAGTATCAGAAAGCAGCTGAATCAGGAAAGACCCCCTACCGTGGGACACTGTAAACAGAAGCAGATCTCTGTGTGTGTGTTTGGGTAAGGGGGAGCACTGCCACAGGCTTTTGCTTTTAGAGATCTCAGAAACTGCCCCTGATTGAGGAACCTGAAAAAAAGATGAGCAAGCGAGAGAGAGAGAGAGAGAGAGAGAGAGAGAGAGAGAGCGTGCAACACAGCTGTTTAAGACAATAGAGCAGGCTTTAGTGTAACCTGCTCGTTGGGAGCATTTCAGCAACAAAGAGCCAAAGAAAAGTTGCCCCAGGGAGGAAATGGATAGCCTCTCTCTCCCCCTCCTCTTGCAGGGCTCTCTCACTCACTCGCTTTGGTTCACAGACACACAAGTGCATCTCTGTGCCTCAT